TTTGTTAATGGTAGTGCCAGAGTTTTACATAATTGGAATTTTTTTGATTTTAAATGTGTCTTATTTGGCGATTTGGATTTGTTAAAAGAGGCATTTTGTTGTTGTTTCAATTTTCTTATGAAGTTAAATATTTTACCAAGTTCTATTTGTTTAGCGAGGTGTATATTTGTTTTGTTGTTCGTCGTATGTTTAAAATTTTATTGTTTTGTATTTGGCTTTGAATAGAGGCGAAAGAGATATGGGGTGTTGCAGCTTTGAATTGGTATCAAAGGGTGTGAAAAGTGGGCAGATTGGAGAAGTTGAACTTTGCGCAGTTGCTTGAAGTTCAAATTGTGATTTGTGTTTAAGCACTATAGTTTTGTGTAAACTTTTTAGCATTAATTAGAAATTAGGCAATTGTCAAAGATTTCGTTGCTGCTGTTAAGGGTAATCATATCTAATCATTTCTTCGGTATTGTTGCACTACATCATTTTTTTTTCTTTCTGGTTTTTCGATAAAACTTTGAGACTTTGCCAGGAAAGAAGCATCTCTGACGTTATTTGATTTATTTTGATTGGGTCTGAGGCGTTGTTTTGTATCATTCGGTTGTAGTCGAGAGTTGGAGAATGGACTTGAAAAGATTCTAAAAAGTACATTTATACTTAAGTGTTATCGAACTTTCCTCAGTTAATTTGTTAATTTGATGTGTTCAGCACTACATTGTTCTGAAATAGAACTTAATTATTGATATTATTTCTTGATACAAAAAAATTTTTTCACGTTTTTTGCCTCTGTTGATATGTGAAATTTAACAGGTTTTTGTTGATTGAAAATGGAAAAGTTTTTGTCTGCAGATGCTGGTCAGTTGCGTTGTTGATAAAAACGCATTATGAAAATTTTTGTTTGGCTTTTAAATGCACAACCTGTTCATTTTATGTTACAATTCGTCAACTGATTTTTTAGTTTTTTTCAGTCTTTAGTAGATAAGTTTTGCAGGCTGAGAGGAAGAAAGGAGTAGAAGAAAGGAATGTATTAGAAAAATTGCTCCGTATCACCAAAACTGTCAGTTTGGAATAGACGATTGTGCTATGAATTATCAGTCAGCTGATTTTAGTATTTTTTTCACTAGGTGCCATGCTTGGAATTCAATTTCGCGCGTGAATCACATGGCTTATTGTATGGACTGAAATTGGTCGATCTCATTTCAATGTTATTCGTTGATAGTGTGAAAAATTTTTTCTTGTAACTGTTGCCGTTATATTTAAATCAAAATAATATTTTCAAAGCTCACAGCTTTAATTTTCAAATCTAGCTTTTTAGCTGCAGTTACAGGTTAAAACTAGCTAGATGAAAATGAGGCGAAACGCTGTATGCTACGGATGCGTCGAGGTTTTGAAAAAAAAAATGAACAATTCGATTTGGGAAATTTGCAGAGCTGTCTAACAGGTTGTCGAGTAAGAGTTGGATATTGAAATGTACAGCGAACAGCAACCTGAGCATTTCATTTCAAGATTTTTGAAGCCTTTTTATCATATTTCATGCTCACACTGCTCGATTTTTCAGACGAGACTGTGTTTTTACTTTGTTTTCTATTTTCAGAAGACATTTTCTGGGGGGAATATGGTGCATTTAACAGAAAACCTTTTGTACTTATCTTGGTTCTGTTTAATCCGGTTGTACGGAAAAATTTTAATTTTTTTTTTCCCAGCCAGAAACCACAAATTGTTTTTGAAATTACACTGTTGACCTTGCCTGGTCGGTTTCGTTTGAAAAGTTTTTGAAACCTGGGGAGGGATTTTTTAATGTTGCTTCACGCTCTTCAGCTTTCATGTACCCATTGCTTGTATATTATTTGTTTATATTAGTAGATGAAGCAAGGCTTACATCAATTTGGATATTGCTTTTTCCATATGATGTTAGAAATTAATTGCTGGTGCAAAAGTGGTTACGGATTCAGAGAATTTACTGTTTATTCTATGGCTTTTTATTTGTGTCTCCTGGTTTTCAGGTTATTGTGTAATTCTTATTTTTAAGCTACAGTAGCAGCATGTGTAACGACCACCTTCCAGTTCTAATTTTTTAAATTTTTTTTTTTTTTAGTTTTTTTCTCATGCAAGGCTAATTCATATATGGTTTTTTCACTCGATTTCTTACCTCAGAATAAGTTTGGTGGTGATGACATCATTTTTGTCGCTTGTGTGGACTACAACAAAATGGAATTGTTTATTTTCATGTTCTGAAAACATCTTGGTTTACCGCCGGGGAAAGAGAGTGCAAATGTGGGTTGTGGTGAAGGAATGGGTAATTTAAGTTCGATTGCATCATTCTTCTGTCTTTTTCCAAAACTGAACAATTCTTTTTGGGAAGAAGGGGGAAGATGAATCCGGTTGATGTTGTTCAGTTTGACGTTTAAACAAGAAATTTGAATCGACCGAAATGGATGGTGTTAGAAATCAGTTGTCTATCACTGCATTCGGTCAAATAGATCGATCAAAAGTCTTATTTAACTAATGCTTCACAGTTAATTTTTTGACATTTGCTGTCCTGTTTCATAATATTTAACAAGTAGGTTAAGCAAGGCTTTTACTGATTTGGTTTTTAGGCTAGTAACAGCTGTTTAATAAAATGCCGGTATAAATAAATCATCAAAGCCCGTGTTTTGTTAAGACTGGTAGAATAGGTTACTTTTAAAAGCAGAGTAACAAAGTAAATTAAAGTTAGTAGAATGAGAATAAAATTATATATGTATATATATATTTATTTGTTTGTTTATTTTCTCTGAGATGTAAGATGTACTTGTTGCTTAACAGTTTTTAGTGCATTGATTTTAGAGATGTCAGCATTGTTCTAGTATACGATGTAATCTGAAAGTTTCTGTTAAGTTTCGTTGCAATGAGCGAATTTGTTTCGTCATTACACCTTGTGAAGGCAGAAAATTTTTTTTCTCGAGAGGAGGACGTTCTGTTGAGAAGAAATTTACTTTTTTTGCTTGTTTATTGGGTATGTTTGTTGCAAATCTGTTCAATTGTTTAATGAATTATAAGTCTACGTTTCAACATAATTTCTGCATTCTTATTATTGTTGCAAGTGGCTGTGTACCCATCAGCAGTTAGATTATCTGAAGAATCGTCAAGGTTGCTAGCACAAAGATTATATTTTTTATTATTTTTAGCGACGTTGCCGTTACTAAGTCCATATAAATTTTTTTATTCTTCTTACTACTTTTTTTATTACCGTAGCAAGTGAATGCTTGTGGTTTTTTTGCCAGTTTATCTTTTAATTAATTCCTCCTACAGGTTTGGGTCTCATAAAAATCCCAATGAATTTGCTGACAGAATTTTTTGAAGCTTCAACCTTTTTGAATCTCTAATTATAGTAATTTTTTGACCTTGGAAAATATCGCTAATTAACATTTTATTTGTTGGAGATTAGTTGACTTTATTCCAAGTATTCTACTGGAAGTTAACTTTTTTGAAAAGTTTTTTGTCGAATCACTGTGTTGCGATAACTTTTGATGTCATGTTATGGTGGTTCGAAACATGTCCTGTAGTTTGGATAACCAGGTTTCATTTGCTCTGCGTACTACGCTGCTGCTTTGGTTCTTGTGGTTAGTTTTTGCTCTTGCGCTGCCTAGATTCCATGATATGATCAAACTTGTTATATTTTTGAAAAGTTGTAGAAAGTAGTAGTTTTAGGAAGCACTGCTTTTTTTACTCTATTTTTTTAACTTGTTCTACTGGCCCAATTGCCATTGGAAATCTGCGATCTTTTCCTGCCACACAAATATTAGCCTTTGAATTAGGATTGTTAAAAATTCTGGGTTCTTGTTGCTTATTTTTGAAGAAAAGGCCAAAATTTCGTTTGACAACTGATGAGAATTGGAATATAGATTGCAGCAGTTCACATGTTCAAGAATGATGACGGCTTCAGCTTTTGTTGGGGAAGAATAGCGAATTCAGTTAAATGATAACGTTACTTGCCCCGTTCTTTCACTCGCAGCTCTTACATTATTTCATTCTTCTTTATTTCTATGGCCAGCCTTCGCGTTCTGTGTAGTCTTAATCGTCATTTTTCACTCTCTGTTTCTCTTGGTTTGCTAGGAACTTTGAAGCCCTCTTATAACGCTTTCAACTTTTAAGCATCGTCCAACGAGCCTCTTCTACGTTTCGTTTTTGTAAGTGAAATTTTTTGTGTAATTATTAGTTATTTCAGTAACATATGATCATTTTACTACATTTTCGTAGCTCCATAATTGTGCCCTCAGAAATGACATTCTTTTTCAGCGAGAAGGATGAAGGACTTGTTACTGCCGACAAGGACTGGTAAAGTGCAAATTTTGTACAGACGTTGTTTTAAACCTTTGTATCGACCATTCAAAGCGTGTTCTTTACTGTTATGTGCAATAGTATCCTTGTTGTTTGCCTCCCAAAGTCACTAATACAACGATTTTGCTCAGCTATGGAGTCGTGTGCGCTCTGGAAGTCCGTTTAAGTTCTTTTTGAAGGAGAGGTTGATGGTAGTCAGAAAAATGGTAAAGGAAGCAGATTAGAACTGGTTTCATTTCTTACGTTTTTTTATATATTTTATATACATGTATATATGAGTAGTTCATACGGATGTAAATGAAAAGAAG